CTCAAGCAATCCTACTGTCTCAGCCTCCCGAGTAGGTGGGACTACAGGCATGCGCCACCATGCCCGGCTAATTTTTTCTATATATTTTTAGTTGTCCGATTAATTTCTTTCTATTTTTAGTAGAGACGGGGTCTTGCTCTTGCTCAGGCTGGTTTCGAACTCCTGAGCTCAAACAATCCGCCCGCCTCGGCCTCCCAGAGTGCTAGGATTACAGGCGTGAGCCACCGCACCCAGCCAAAGTTCTCTAACTTTTAATAATTGTCAAATAATAAAGATCCCACAAAATTTTTTTTTTTTAAGCTGAGCTTATTTCCATGGCAGGCAAGGAGTGATTTCTCAGTGAATTTCTCCAAGGAAGAAAAGTCAGAGTTTTTAAAGTCATAGGAAGAAGGTTACATCACAGTCCTGCTTATGCAGAATTGAAAATCAGCACTTTGGGTAAAAGAAAATGAGTGCATAGGTCTGTGTGAGCCTGGTTAGAGCAAGTTCCCTTCTTCGATGGTCAGTGACGAGTCTCCAGTTAGGTGCAATGAGGCTCTGGTGTCCTGCGTCACTGGAAATTCGTGGTCATTGATCACCATCAGCTGGTTAGAACCACTGTGGTGAAATACAATATTAAGCCAGGGCATTTCCTAGGCAAGTGCTGCTGGAAAGTGGTGAATGTTCCTCCTGCACAATTTGGAAAATGGGGACAATCTGGCAAAGGAAAGTAAAGAACACCTGCCGCTGAAGTGGGAGGTGAACAAGGACGATGTGGTGACCAAGACATGAGGAATCCAAGAAGCGGGGAGTGATTGCAGGGACAAATGCTGCTGGGAGGGCCAGTCAGACAAAAGCTGAGCCTGGTCTATTGTAACTGTAGCCTGGGGTCACCGGTGACCTTGACCTGGAATAGTGGAGACAGTCTTGATGTTATTAGATTTAAGAGAAAATGGGAAGAAGAAAGTGGAGACAGGAGCGGGGACAAATCGTCTAAGAGACTTAGCTGTGAAGGACAGCAGAGGAAAGGGCATTGGCAAGAAGAGAGTGGAGGATGAGGAGTCATCTCTTTTTCCTTTTTCAAGATGGTGCATGTTTGTGCGATTGACTTGGCAGAGAAGGAAAATTGTTGGTGCAGGTGGAAGGAGGGACCATTGTAACAGCAGACCCCCGAGAAGGGCCAAGATTAGTGCACGAGTGGAGAGGCTGGCGCTGCTTAGACAGCTTGTCCTTTGTGACAGGACAGCAGGCACCAATACCTGTAGTGGGCAGATTGCTTCTCTATTCTCTGAAAAGAAACAAACTCATCCACCAAGATTGTGGAGGAATGAGGGGAACTGGAGGTTTGCGGAGTTCAGAGAAAGTTTGAAATAGTTGAGCTGGGAAGAGGAAGGGTAAATCGAGTCAGTCGGGGACTGCAGTGGGGTTACTGGGCAGTCCCGAGGGCCTGGAGGTTTCTGGTCGTGAATTTCAAGGAAGATGTGTCCACATTGCTGTGTACGCCTCCTCCCCTCCTCTCCTGACCACGTTCAGCTGCCTCAGGACAATTGTGAAGAGGGGAAGGGGAAAGGGGGGTTGAGATTGTATACAGGGGAATTATTGACATGAGGAGCTGATACACGGTGAAAACAGAAGAGTAGCGGGAGCTTGGGGGTTTCACTCTGCCTTGATACCCCACGGTGCCTAGAAAGGGCTCAGGAAATCACCAGGAAAATGAAGCAAAATGATCTTATGGATAGCCAATCAATAATGCCAGCAGTCCGGGCGCATTTCTTTCCCTTTTTCTCCTCTGCCCATCACTGGTCTGCTCCTGCGCCTACTTACCTCCATCCCTCTTTCCCTTCCACTCTTCAGCCCCCCAGGTCCAAGATTCACTCTGTGTGAGCCGGCCAGTCTTAGTTCACACCTTCACCCGTAAATTCACTCTGCATCCTCAGTTTCAGAGTGGAGCACCAAAAAGACGTGGCTTTCTCTTGCTTCAGTGGACTGCCTCTGATGTCATGCTTTCTCTTTCTGCTAGAAAACCCCTCCCCGCAGATGGGCAGGGGTAAGGTAGGTGAAAGGAACAGACAGCCTCTTGCCCTTGCACTTGTTAAATGCAAAAGTGCTTTCTTCTTTATAATCTAAATTGATGCATCTTCTGTGAACTTTGACTAGTGCTCATTTCTGTCCCAGTGCTTTCAATTTTGGCAAATGACTTCCTTCATGTGAGCTGTGTTTTTCTTGGTCTTCATCTTTTCGGGTGGGGCGATCTATCTTTCTGTGTGACCCTCCATTAGCACCTTCAGCCTTGCCCAGCTAATCACTCTGCCACCCTCGAGCCCAGCCTGCTGGCAGAAATTCTAAGAGTTCCTGTAAGGGCAGGATAAAACTTCCTGCATTCTTTCTAGTATTCAGCCCTGAGGATGCCCAGCAATTTATTGGCATTTTAGGATATAAAATGCTTTAAGCTTATGCCTGTAGGAATGGCCCACGTCAACGTCCATATCTCTTGCTAGGTCATGACTGAGCCCTCAGAGCCCTTCCTTTGAACGCTTTCAGATATGTTTTTCATTCCGGAATATAATATACCTGGCCCTTGCCCATATTAAAAGTCATCTGCCTTTCTGTGCCCACTCATAGATTCATAAGTGCTTCCTGAAGTCTAGCCCCATCTGCTTGGTTCTTCACATCCAGGAAGAAGTTAATGCCATTCCCAAACTGAGTGGTTAAGAAAAATGACATCACTTGGAAACAAGGAAATACAGCTTGGGCTTAGTCTTCCTGTCACTTCCAAATGACTTAAAATTTGATCTCAGCTGATGACTCAGATCTAGAGGTGCCAGTTTTTATTCACGGGAGAGTCACTGCAGGAGCTGATTGTCACAGTCTCCCCAGACCCTTCACACCGTGGCCCTGTTCTGGAGCTCCTTGGTGACCTTTGACCTCAGCCACTGCGCCACGAGGGCCCTCCCAGGTGCTGTGCAGAGTGAGGGCCACCCTGCACCAGCTTGTGGGGGCCCATGTGGGGTGGTGGAACGAGCCTGGGCTTTCACATCAGGCTGATGTCATCTGTTGACTCTGATCTCCAGCCTCCTGCCGGCTGTGTGGTTACAGTCAGGACGGCTAACCTCTGTATGCCTCGTTTCCTCAGCCACAAAATGAGGACAGAGACTCATACTTATTCACAACGATATTGTAAGAAGTAAATAAAATCGCACATTTAAAGCACTTAGCACCGTGCCTGGTCCATATGTGCTCAATGCCCATGCTATCAATTTTTAAAAAGTCTAATAACTTTCCCCTGCCCAAAATAGACCTATGTGGCTCTGAGCCCCACTGCCCACCTACAAAACAGCATTGATGTGAGGGTGAGATGAGGTGGCTTCTCTGTGCAGCCCACGAGCACAGCTCTGACCCCAGCCTCCCTCCCCCCACCCACAATGCACTTCCTCTCAGCCATTTTGCAGAAATGCTGCAGAAAGAGCTATCTGGCACCAACCAATTCAGTTCTGATCTCTGCAGACCAAATGTGGAAGAAAAGTCAAAAACTCTTTTCTAGATACCCGGGAGCCAGCACTTCCAACTCAGATCTATGGAAGGCAGAGATAAGAATTTGCTTTTAGGAAGGAGCCCATAGCATGTCCATCCTGTTCCAGTTGCAGGGCACAAGGTCCTGGGGCCAGTGTTACCCAAGGGCGGCACCTGTAGGTAAAACAATGGAGGGTCTGGAAACAAAAGGCTGCCATGGACACCCAGGCCAGAGATGTCCTTAAAGTGTGTGAAGTGGGGTTGGTCCTGAAAGGGAATCGGAGGCAGAGACTAGGACCCGGAGGAGGTGGTGCCGCGGGAAAATGCTTCCACTACACCCGCTGCCTTTCTTCTTTCTCTTCTTCTCCTCCTCTTCCTCTTCACATCACTCCAAGTAGGTCAACAGTTTCCACCAGACTGACAGATCAGCTCACTCACAGTAGAACATGGCCTTTTGGTACTGGGCAAACCTGGGCTCAGTTCCTGATTCCACCACTTGCCCCTCTGAGCCTCAGCTGTTGCATCCATAAAATGGAGATGAGAATTCCCGTCTCAGAGAACCACTGTGAATACCATGTGACATGTGGGTAAAGAGCCCAGCATCGTGCCTGCACCAGGGAAGCTGCAGAAGAAATTCTAGTTTCCTTCCTTTCTTCCTCCCCGCACTCAGTCTTGCTACACATCTATCTACTGAACAGCACTAATTCTAAATCCTTCCTTCTCTAACAGAAAAGCTTTGCCTGCCATAAAACATTAGCAAATAATGATTGAGCTGGGGATTTTCTGGGCAGCACTGTGTAAGAGCAGGCAGCCTGTGCTCATTTGATTTGTAGATATATTGTAACGACATTTCGTGGCACAAAACCCACTTAAGGGACTGCTAGGGAAAGGAATAATGTTGCTCCACTACTTTTCTCTCAACTCTTCTTTCTCTGTCATGCAAATCAGAAATACTAATCCTTTTGACTCCCTGGCCTTTTAACTAGGGGAAAACCCAGTCACTTGTCTTCCTCCCCTGCCCCCAAAATAAAATAATTATTAAGAACATATAACTTCTGAGTGCGATTTCAACCCTCTCATTGATAAGGCAGTAACCCAAGCAAACAGCATTAGATGAAGTTACCAGTCTGACCATAAAGTAAGGATGCAGGCATTGTTTGGACAAGATGAATTGGAGTTCTCTGTGAAGTTGCTCCAATTCTTATAGGCAGAATAGACTTCGGATAGAGCTAGTAGAACAAGCCACTGAGTGCTCTGGCTTCTAGTTCCTCTCCCAGCGTTGCCTTGGTTGCAACTTTCAGACTTCTTGGATCTGGCTGCTCTTGGCAGAAAAGCTACGTCAAGGATCTGAGGTCAACTCAGAATACGAGTGGCTCCATCCTTTTTGTCCTCATTTTTCCAGTGGATGTCATGGAAGCCCCTCATGAACTTTCTTTACGACTGATACTGAGTGACAGCTTACAAGGCACATCCTAAGCACACAGTGTTCTCTTCTTTGTTTTTATGTCCAGGTCATAGCTACTTGGAGTCACCAACAAACATGCCTTCTCCTCCTCCTGATTATTTTGTATGGAATCTGACCTGGATAATGAAAGATTCCTTCCCTTTCCTGTCTCATCGCAGCCGATATGGTAAGTATATAAATATATATTTTATTGTTGTTGTTGTTTTTAGAACTGGTGTAAAATTTATTTGTTGTTTCAAAATATTAAGGGGATACAAAGGTAAGTATATATTTGATAGTTATTTGTGACACGCCATCACCATCTCATAATGAAGGACCCTGTGAGTTTCAGTGTGTGATTCATAGTGCCCCAGGGAAACCTCAGCCCTCTACATGCAAAAGAAGTCTTTGTGTTCCTCTATCTCCCAACAGGGCCCGACCCTACCAGACCCGTCCAGCCAGGCCATTCCAGCTGCATTCTGTATCCTGACGGAAGCCAGGGGTTTTCTGACTGCCAATTCCCTTCCCTTCAGCCTTTATGGTGTGTGGTCTTCCCGCCATCCCCTTACCAATCATGAGATGCAATGCTTATTTGCATCTTGTCTGTGGCTTTCTGGATATAGGATTCTAACCCACAGCATTTCTAGTGATCATGATCTCTTAAGAGGGAATTGTTATTATGAAGGTCACAGGACCTCTTACATGTGGGTAACTCCTTACAGCTTCCTAAACATGTTCTTTGTTATTATTTCAACTCATTTGATTCTGCAACAGCTTCAGAGGTAAAGAGAACAGGTCCAATGCCATTTTTACAGGTGTAGAAACAGCTTAATAACGTAACCCAGAATGGCTTCTCTAGATATACAACCAGAATTCCTCCCTTACGTTCACTTTTTCTCCCAGGGGTCCCCTACTCAGCCTGGTAGGTCCTGTGCTAGGAGCCCTCACGAGGCCATCTCTTCATGGTGAAAGATTCCTCATTCTCAGTGCTCATTTTAACAGCTCATAGCAGCTGGGGCTCTAGAAAGCTGGGGAAGTAGAAAGAACAGATTTGGAGGAGAGCTGATGCATTTCCAGGTGAACATTTTTCTTTCTCTTGAACTCTGGGGTGAACCCCATGAGGGCAGGCACTAAGCTTTGCTCTCCACTTTGTCCATCACACAGAAGACATTCATAAAGACTTGTTTAAGATGAATGAATGCAAAAGTCCTCCAGAGAGGAAACTCATTCATCAGACCTGATTCAATCAAGTATTTATGAACCTGGTACAGCACTGAGTTCTAGATTCCCTTCTGGGCATATTTACCTATTCCTGCTACTTAATCTCTGCCCCTGGGCCTGAGCTATTTAAAATGCACCTAACAGAGACGTTCCACTCATTATAGAAAAGCTCTCAGCCCAAGGCCTGCTGTCTTTCCTCCGCAACACTCTTGGTTCATATTAACTGTACCTTTCATTTCAAGCTTAAAAAAAATAAATACATCAAAAACCCTAGGGCAGTTTAGAATTGTATTCTGTGCTGGGATGTTTCCTGTTACACTCAAGTGTCCCTAGTGGGAGAGAAAGGTCCGTGGTCCTCAGAAGATTCCAAATGAGAATTACTTCTTGATTTTATTTAAGCCAGACACTGAGTGTCATCTTACGATAAGGGCAAGTATCTATAAATAACTGAAATCTGCTTCTTTACATTGTAAATGCTTTGTAACCAGATTTGCAATACAACTGGTCTTCAGATAACATTTTTGACTTTGCTCCCAAAGTCATTCGGTATCTCCACGGGAGAACAACTTTTATAAAATGCAGACTGTCCAAAAAAGGCAGGTCTACCTCCCGCATGCCACAGAGGGCATCATATTTGTTCCTTGTAAGAGATTGTAGGTTGAAAAAAGAAAACCAGGGGGGCATATTAAGCTGCCTCCCACCCACGGCATGACCCTGATGAACCCACTTGACCTCTCTCAGCCTCGTCCTCCTCGCCTGTCAAGTGAGGGGGGAACTAGCTTGCCACCTTGGGGCAACAAAATAGATCTGGATGCTCCCCAAGATCTTGTTCAAACCCTCCTTGTGGCCTAGAAACCTCAGGATTTCCCTTCTTGGCAGAGGAGAGGACCCAAACCATCGCCCAGTTACTGCCCCAGTGCTGGGTGAGGGTGCCCAAGTTGGCGCCATTACTGCTATTGAGTCATGGGGGAAGGAAGAACTGATTCTCATCAGTGGTTCCTCAGCTGAGCACGTGGGTAATTCCAGGGCCTTTTCATCTTCCTGTCATATTTAATTTGGCTGAGACTTATAAAGACCCCACTGCCACCGCCACCTTTGTGTGCCAGACCTTGTGCCAGGTGCTGGGGGTGATGGAAATACAAAGACAAGTGGGACGTGGGCCTGCCCTCCCAGAGCTCGCAGGCCGGAGAAATTGTGCTGTAGGCAGCTAGGCCCGTTGCCACGGAGAACAGCTCCGCTGGGCTGACCTGAGCACGGACCTGATAGCTTGCCCCGAGACCCACTGCATGGGACAAGCTGAAGGCAGAATGAAGGCTGAGAGTCTGGTCCCTTTCAGAATGTTTGTTGGGGGGGTCGGGGGAGGAGAGGCTCAGCCCACATGTCTCTGAACCACAGAGGCTAGCAGGCTCATGGGTGATAAATCCACACCTTTCAACTGCCGTGAAAGACATTTTAAGAAATGTTAACAACTTCATTAATTTTAAGGCCTCAAACTTGGGCAGAGAAATTTGACTGGAAAATTGCCGCCTGAAGGGATAGTTCTTCAGACAGTGAGATGTCACCAAGTCTCAGCAAGTCCATATCGGAACTTCATGCTTGGCTGGCTGTCTTCTCCTATGTCCTGGT